CGCTGCGGTTGTCCCTTCTGTTGCGGCTGTCCCTGCTGCTGCTGCGGTCCCTGCTGTTGCGGCTGACCCTACTGTGGCTGCTGCTGCTGGGGCCACCGCTGCTACTGCGCTGCTGCCGCAGTGTACCAACCGGCTACTCCAGCACTCCCTCCCGTCGGGCCGGCACGCCCAGGGCCACCTCTAGTGCCGCCTCCACTAGACTGTGATGCACCAGTACCGCCCCCACCTCCGCCACCCCCTGAGTCACCCCCGCCGCCACCAACAGCGCCACCACCCTTCCCTCTTTTCTTACCTCCCTTACCCCGGAACCGCCCACCCGTAGTGGACACTGCTGCAGTCTCACCAGTAGCATGAGGTGCAGTGGAGGCAAGAGAAGCAGTGAAAGTGGGGAGCTGTGGAACAGTACACCCCTAAAAGAGTGGCGGAACTACGGCGCCAGAAGCAGAGGCAACGGAGCAGATGTTGCTCTCGATGTCCTTGAGTGCTGAATCAAGGACGTCGATAGTGAGCTCAGCAGGGTGCTTCCAAAGAAGCTCGTCACGTACATGTGCAAGGCGGCCAGGGAGGGAAGTGGCTATGAAGTGAATGGTAATGGGCATGGGAGGGGGAAGGATCGCAAGATGAGCCTCCGTATTCGCAGCACGGTAGCTAGCGTCGAGCAAGCGGAGGTGGGTGATAAGGTCAGCAGTGCGCTCAAACGTGCAGAGGTTGGAAAGAAGGAACGGCAGGAAGAGACGACCAAGCGAGGAAGAGGAGGGAGTGGAGTAACGAGCTTTGATCGCAGCAAAGCAGGCCTAGGCAGATCGAACCTGGCTGAAGTGGGCCTCCTCAGTCTTAGGGAGAAGGATGGTGAGGGCAATACAAGCCGCATCGTCATGAGACTGCCACACTGACAGGGCTGCATGACCCTTATCGAAGCGCGCATGCTCCTCCTCAGTAGGCTCTGCAGGCATGTCTTGAGGGCGAGGAGGCGAAAGCAGGTCACTAGAGGCGTGCGCCCAGAGTGTGTCGCCATCCCGGCGCTCACTCTGCAGGAACATCTCGACACGGAGGAGCCAGGTGGGAAAATTGAGTGCCCTACCCTCGGCATCGAAACGTAGAGGTCGAGGGTCCGCCATGGCTAGCGACCAACCGGACTAGGGGTGAAAGTGGATGAACGAACGAAGCCGGAAGGGCTAGTCTAGGAATGGCTGAAGCTAATGGTGGGTAGAGCCAGAAAGGGCTAGCATAGAGATGCTAGGCACTAACCATGTCTACCCTAGGGAGGTCAACTGCGGCTGCCAGCCGCCACAGAGAAAGCCTATGGCAGAAGGTGGGGCCTTAGATCGGGGGGGGGGGGGCAAGGGGGGGGGGGGCGGGGCCTTAGGACGAGGGGCCGCAGGGCCTTCAATCAAGGGGCCGCTGGGCCTAGGAACGAGGGGCAGCACTGCTGCTAAAACAAGAGGCTGCAGGGCCTTAAAACAAGGGGTCAAGGTGCCTGTGAACGAGGGGTTGCGGGGTTGTTGTGGCGCTCGCAGCAGCTGGTGCTCGGGACGGGGCAGCGTGCTGGGACGGGCTGTGTGCGGGGCTTGCGGGCTGCGCGTGGCTGCGGGCTGCGCGCAGGTGGGACGGGGCAGGCTACGGGGAGCAAGCTGCGCGCGGCTGCGGCGGGCTGCACGCCGCAGGCTGCGCATGGCTGTAGGCTGTGTGCGGGCGGGACGGGGCGGGCTGCGAGCAGCAGGCTGCGCGCGGCTGCGGGCTGCGCGCTGGCGGGACAGGGCGGACGGCGGGCAGCGAGCCGCGCGTGGGCGGGACGGGGCGGGCTGCGGGCGGGACGGGGCGGGCGGCGGGTAGTGGGCTGCACGCGGGCGAGACGGGGCGGGCTGCGGGGAGCCAGCTACGCGCGGGCGGGACGGAGCGGGCTGCGGGCAGCGGGCTGCTCGCGGGGCGAGGTAGGCTAGGCAGGGCGATAGGCTATCCTAGGCTAGGATCGGGCTAACGTACTCGTGATACCATGTCGTAAACGGAAACAGCGGAATGGATGACGAAGGGACAAGCGTGATACAAATAGGAACCTTAAAAGTGTTGTACCCCCTATAGCTAACGTCACTATAGCCTAACATCATTACATATAATTTGACATTTTTCTCCAACAACTTTCATACACAAGAATTCATAAGTCTCTGGTAAGTACCCAAAATCGAGTTTACAGGTTGAGTTGACTAAGGTATTCTCTTGTTTTTTTTTATTACATTATTCCAAGAACGACCGATACAAGTTGTATTGGCACCTGAGCCTTCTTTGAACAAATAGTACGCTAGTGTGTTCTACCACTATTCTAACGTAACAAAGCTTTGAAAGATGCTTCTTCTATTCAAGAAATACACTGTTTGTTGCATGATACCATTGTTGTCGGTTTTTCGCCAAGTCGTATTGCATCGTTGTAACAGACTTTATGGGGATGGAGGGAAGGCCGAGCATACGTGCGTATGCTATCCAGCACTGGGGGTGAGTTGTGCCCTCAAATTTTTAGGGATGGTGTCTATTGATCGGCATGGCCACTGGCCATGGCTTCATGCCGTAGCACGTGTTTCATTTCAGTCGTCTTTTTGGCGATAGAGATCAGGCAGCACAACCGACCATGCGAGAAAAATCGGCCGAGCAGCCGAGCATGTCAATGACATCGGTCCCGATTGGGTTCCGCGTTTTTTCGATGGCGGCTCACGGTGGCTCCGATTGGTTGGTCGGTATGGTATCGTCCTTTTCCCGGAGAAGTCCCTCTCTTTCCGTCGCCTCGCCTTCAGGGCAGGTTGAATCACCTCGCCATCTCGCAACTCCCAACCACCCATCGAACAAAAAGCCGACAACCGCATTACGGCAAGGCTCACGTGGTTGTGATTGGTTGGTCAGTATGCACAACAGATCTCTATTTATTGCATCTAGAAAATCTATTCGCTCTCCGCCGCGTCGCCATCATCTACGTGGCAGAAGTTGCTCCTGTCATCGTTCGTCCGTACACCAGTCCCTCACGCCAGTCGGAGAGTCCTACATAGGAGCGTGTTGCAGACCAAGTCAGTAGAGCACTTTCAGCGAGCGAGCGGTTGAGCCAGCTGCACTCCACGAATACCTGCTACCGCTGCTTTTCTTCCTCATTTCCCGCCAGCTTCTCCCTCTCGCCTCGCCGCCATGGCCCGCCAGACTCCTCCGCTCACACTGCTGCTCGTCATCGTCTTGGCGACTGTTTCCATCGCCAACGCTGCTGCCAACGTCACCTACAACCCGGCCAACGACAGTCTGACGTTCGGCCCAGGGTACAAGGTGATGACGACCACCACGTCATTCTCCATCGTGGACTCCGCCGGCAAGCCTGTCAAAACCACTGCCAACCCCGACGGATCCCAAACTTTTGGTGGCGAGTAGACCCTCTACCCCAATAATACGGTCACTGGCCCGGGCGTTGCTGTGTACACCAGTGGTGCCGATCCTTGGTTTAAGGTGAGATCAATGACGCTCCTGAGGAATGGAACGTGCCTGGACGGTTTGGGGAATAAAATCATGCCGACTGCCAATGGGGACGGGTCGTACACTGCGAGGGACCTGACTGGGTGGAGCAACGACACCTTTCTCGGCAGCACTGGTGCAATGATCAATGTTGGCGGGCCGCTCACCCTCGACGCTAATGGTGCCGTTGTTTACGGTGCTCCTCCCCCACCCAATACTGCTCGTAAGTTGTTTCTACTGCTTGCTGGCTGTCGCCTCCCTTTCTGCTATGCTCATCTAGGCCAATCCTGAACCGTTCCCTCCTTCCTTTCCAGTTTAGTACCTCACCCTGTAGATAACCCCCCTGCGCATCACGCCTCTCGGATCCCATGCCCTTTTTTTCTCCTGACCTGGTTTCATGGAGTATGTTGTTATTCCTGACCTGGTTCTGATTTTCCTGTTGTCCCCCACGCAATGGCAGGTTTGCTTGCTTCACCAACTACTACACTCACTGTCATCACTAACGCCCTTGGCTCGCGCCTGTTCATGTAGCATGATGGTGCTCCTGTTCAACTCTGGGCTCATGGTCAGCGTGTGTAGGCACACACGTGGTGGTTCTTTAGTGTGCACTTGTTCTACCGAGACGAATGTGCCTGTTTCTGCTGGATTGCCGGTGCGTACCTTTGTGGATGGGATGGTTTGGACGTCGATTGGATTAGCCTTGTAGTAACCCACTGTGTCGTACCAAGTAGTAATCGGACATTTGGTTTGCACCGTGCAGCAGCAAGTTATAATATGCCGATTACTTCTTCCCATGCAATTAATTTGGATGGATTGGGTTTCTCTAGTAAATTCTTTCATGCTATTCTCATGTCCTAGTGCAAGCTGGTGATTGGTCCTGGTGACTGGTGACTGGTGCCCTGATGACAGCTGCCCTAATCCTCTCTGGGACAGGTGGAGAGAGGAATGTGGGAGCCCTTGGAGGAGGATGGACGCACCATGCCATATCCCAGGAATTCTGGGAAACTTGAAGAGGTAGGTGGGGTAGGCAGGGGGTCACGCAAGGGGAATGTGGAGGAGAAGGGATGTTGAAACAGCAAGAGTGGTTGTAAGCGCATCATGTTGTGTCTTGTCTGTGGATGATGATAGAGGCACAAGGATAAACCTAGGCATGGCACATAAGTGTGTGTGCATACACGCAAGTGTGTGTGCACATCAGTGATTGCATGCATGGAGAAACACATGGCTGAGGAAAACAGGCGCTCCGCTCCGACTGCACATTGCTAGCCAGCATGGTGTTCTGCCTCTCCACTCTGAGCCTCCTCGCCTGGGGGTGCTCGTGGCCTTCACCTTTAGCGTTCATAACGATGACAATCTCACCAGCACGAACAGGGTCATGGGCAGCCAACAGATCCTCGTTACCATCATCTGGGAGGCCTTCGTGGCGGGGTGAGTGGCTTCGTAAATAGCTTGGTTGGTCAGTGGCTCGAGAAGTGACTCGGTAAGTGGCTTGGAGAGTGGCTCGTGGCTCGTTAAGTGGCATGGTAAATAGTTTCGAGACATCTCAAAAACAACGGAACAGGGGCTGGTGTGCCGCTCTTGCTCACCCACCCTTCACCCTCATCTACGTCGCCTTCCTCTTTGCTTTCTATGCCGGCATCCTCACCGCATCCCGAGAGGTCAGTCCCTCCCCATCCCATCCCACCCCGTGTCTGTTGAGCCGTGCTGCTACTTCTGCTTTCACTCATCTACGTCGCTATCCTCTTTTGTGTCTTTCCCGGCATCCTCGCCATCTACCGAACGGCAAGTGGCTTCCCATCCCATCCACATTCCTTCCCTTCCTTCCCCACCACCCCCCATGTATCCCCATTCCTTCCCTTCCTTCCCCACCACCCCCCATTTATCCCCATTCCTTCCCTTCCTTCCCCATCCCGCCCCATCCTTCCCAATTTCTACCCTTCCTTCCCCAACCCTCCCCATCCATCCCCATTTTTTCCCGTCCCTCCCCATCCCTCCCCATCCTTCCCCATTCCTTCCTTTCCCTCCCCATCCCTCCCCATCCATCCCCATTCCTTCCCATGCCTCCCCATCCCTCCCCATCCTTCCCCATTCCTTCAATTCCCTCCCCATCCCTCCCCATCCATCCCCATTCCTTCCATTCCCTTCCCATCCCTCCCCATTCCTTCCCTTCCCTTCCCATCCCTCCCCAACCCCATTCCCTTTCCTCCCCATTCCTTCCCTTCCCTCCCCATGCCTTCCCATTTTTCCCCATTCCTTCCCTTCCCCTCCCCATCCCTCCCCATCCTTCCCCATTCCTTCTGCTCCCTCCCCATCCCTCCCCATCCATCCTCATTCCTTCCCTTCCCTCCCCATCCCTCCCCATCTATTTCTACTCCCCTCCACTCGTTCCCTCCTTTCCTCCATCTTCTCCTTCCTTTCTCCACTTCTCCCCACCACCCCCCACCCACCACCCCCACCCCCCCCCCCATCACCCCCAGGCCTCTCATTTGCATTCATCTGGCGGCGATAAGACGCCCATCTACTCTGCTCTCTCACCCACCCCCCCTCCCTTGCCCATCGCATTTACCAGTTACCCGCCATGCCCCGTACACCACACTGCATCCATTCTCTATGCACAATGCACCTTACCTCATCCATGCCCGATTGTTCTGTTACCTGGTGTGAGGACGCACCACATTTGCCCAAGGTACAGATACCATTTCCCGCATACAATACACTTCATTCAACTAGCCATGGGGTATGACGTGAGGCAAAAGGGTGACAAGCCACTTCGATTATTTGAGGCCCCACCCTAGCTCTTTGATTTCTCTATTATTAGATCGCTTTGGGGCACTTTTGGTGCATTGCAAAAAAGGGGTTTGGAGGGGTAGGTTCATTATCGGGTACTCGAAGTTGCTCCAACAAGAGTTACGACACCGCTATGACGCGGATGCTTTCGGCATGGGCGCCTCGGGAAAATTACGGATGTATGACCTACCATGTCATTTGGTATGCACGTTGTGTGGTGGCATTTGGTTGGTTTGCGTTTCACACCTATGGGAATGTTGTCGGTCTTTAAACGTTGTGGTTTCAGTGTGTGCAATAGCAAGTAGGAAATGTTTAGAATCTTGACATGTTTGTTACCCTAGTACAATCCGACGCTCTCATACATCTCATCAATGGCCTACACTCAATTTTCAAATACCGTATTTAGGTGCCAAAAGATTACTCAAAGGAGAAATGGTGAGAAGATACGCCACTCGCAGCATACTCCGTATCCGTGGATAAGCATGTATTGAATTGCAAAAAGAGGCGTAAAAAGACGGACTTATCAACTCAAATGCCTAGAAGTACCTTCTCATGCCAGTCACCATTCTCTCTTTCTGGCATGGTATCATCGAGTAGGTTAGGTCAACCGCTTCCGCCCCGCCTACCCTAACTACCCCGCCTGCCCTAGTGCGCCCCCTAGAGTGCCCCGTCGCGCCCTCCTAGAGCACTCACGTCGCGCTCCTAGTGCGCCCTTAGCGTGGCCTCCTCTAGCGCTCCATAGCGCGCCCCTCCTAGCACGGCCCTTGGCGCGACCGCCCGCGCCCCACCTGGTGGCCCCTTCGCGCCCCACCCTAGGCCCCGTCGCACCTAGCCCGTGCGCCCTACCCTAGGCCCCATGCCCCCACCCGTGCCTGCCGCTGTGCTAGTGCCAGCGCTCGCCGCACCCGCGCATGCTGCAGCCGCACTCTCGCTCGCGCCTGCGCCTGCGACCGCTGCGCCCGCGCCTACTACCACCACGCTAGCAACGCCCACCACTGCCGCTGCTTGTGCCACTGCCGCTGTAGCACGCTCGCAGCTGCCACGTGTGCCACCACCACTTCTCGCGTTGCTGCCGCTGTGCGCCCGCTGCAGCGCACTCGCCGCTGCCGCATGCGACGTCGCTACTGCTGCCCCTGCAGTGTGCCAGCAACGCACTGCCAGCTTGCCGCCAGTGCGCCACTCCTGCCTGCCAGCCGCCCGCGCCAACCTGCCGCCCGCGCTGCCCGTGCCGCCTGCGCCGCCCGAGCTGGCGCGCTGCCCACACCGCCCGCACCGCTCGAGCCACCCGCACTACACGTGTCGTCCGAGTCGCCAGCACCTACCAGAGTTCTTGACGCTGCTGCCAGAATCTAACGTGCACCTGCAGTTGCACCCGTTGTCGCGTCTGCCTCTGCAGTTAGGGTTTCTCATAGGCTTGCTCTTCCTCCTCCTATGGCCGTTTCCTCTTGCCTGCTACAATTGTGCTCCGGCTCTTGCCACTATGGCAACTAAGTCAGTCCTAGGTTTCGATGCGGAGGGTCATGCGTTAAGCCTTGACTAGTGGCTGCTCGATCTCCAGATCTACCTGCAGAGCTAGCTTCAATAAGACGTCTCCCTGTACGAGCAAATTTCCGATCATGCCATGTCCTTGTAATCTTGTTGGTGACGCCACTCCGGCCTAGCAAAAGGAATATCGCGTGATACGACTGGAGCACACGCACTATGGTCAAGCATGCACGATAGGTGGAGGTGGAGGTGGAGGTGGTTGAGCTGCTTGTTCATTAGGGAGTGCTATCGCTGAGGGTGCTGGTTCTGGAGGTGCAGCCGGAGGAGGTGTTGGTTCTCGGGGTGCGGCGGGGGCGCAGCAGCAGCATGTTGTATGCACGTCAGTATGCGTGCACGTCATCCTAACGTCCTGCCGTGTACTCGTGCAATTCATGCTTACGTCCTTTGCATTAGCATAAATCCTTATGCATGGCTGTTGGATTTTATCACCTCTGTGTTTTTCTCCAAGTCTAAATGCTTGATCGCGCAGGAGAAATCCAGAGCTTTCCAACGATACCAAGATCGCCTTATTCCGACCAAAATCGCCCAAGTTACAAGATTTCCAAGATTTGGGAATTCTATCTTGATTTGGGTTATCAACTAAATTGGGCGATTATTGGGACATGACTATAAAGGGATCTTTGGTTGGGTGGTTAGGAAGGCAAGTTTGACTTTTGGATTGGGGTGGCTAGAAGTTTCTAGCATGGGTTGCAAATGTTGCAACACCTAGGCAAAATCCAATTGGATTGGATTTTGCATGTGACACCTCAAGGACCTCATCATGAGGGTTGCATCTTTGATACTATGAAGGTTCCCACCATACTTTCAAAGCATTTGGAGAGCCCTTCCCTCACAAGGTTCTCTTGAAACCCCCCAACTCCTCATTCTATGTCTAATGTTTGTTCTTCCTCCATCTATTCTAGTGAAAGCAGGAGCTATACGTTTTTACTTCGTTCTCACTCCCTAGACCATGAAATCAAGTGATTCAACTGGCAAATGGTAGCTAAGACCAGCGCGCACAATCCTACCGAGCGGAATTGCGTTTAGTTGAGATTTGAGTTCGTCGTAAGTCTTCAAAGTGACCGGATCCTATGCAACACAGCACCCGCAGCAGTTTCAGCAGTGGGTCCTGCAGCAGCAGTGGGGTTGTGCCGGATCGGGAGCACTGGTCGCGGTGGTGGGCCATGCCAGTACGTGATTCAGACTGTTCCACCCAATGGCCGCATCTGCGAGTGTCCTGATTACTCCGCTGAGCGGTGCTTTAGCCGCCTCATCGACCTCTACCATGGCTGCTTCGGACATATGGTGCCCGTCCCGGACTGGGCTGCACTGCTCCGCCGGGTCCTGCCTGTGTTTACTATGGACATGTCTATCGTGCATGCTTGACCATGTGATGTATGATGCTGACTATTAGTGATGTTGACTCTGATTATTTGTGTGATCCTAGACTAGGATGTCTGGATGTCTCTAATATAGGATCTGATGCTGTTGCTTGTCCGGATGTGTGCACCGCTGACGCGTCACTCTCCTTCATGCTTGACTCTGGCACATCTCAGTGCTTCTTCGCGACCGCACCACCCTCTCTCAGCTTCCTGGCTCCTGTCACAATCGCCTTGGCCGATCCCTCCTCTGGACCGGTTGTCGCACGCAGCGTTACTACACTCCCGTGCCCGGGGGTCCACTCAGGTTCCCTTACAGGTCTGCACCTCCCCTCATTCTCCAGGGACTTGGTGAGTGTCGGTCGTCTCCAAGACCTCGGTATCACCACTAGGTTTCATGGGCACAAGCAGTTTGCAGTCTATACTAACATTACCACTGGGACACCTCTTGCCACGATCTCTCGAGAGCCGCGTCAGGTCTGATCACGTTAAGCACTGCGTCCCCCTAGGGTGCTGGGTCTAGTCAGGTAGCTGCGTCTTACTCTTGTTGGTCGCTCACCCACCCGTCGCTCCTGTGGCACCACCATCTAGGTCACCCCTCCTTCTTGCGTCTCCGTCACATGGTTCGCCACCGTCTTGCCTCAGGTCTCCCGGTGTCGCTCTCCTCGCTCCCTCCCTTGTCTGTGTTGCCGTGCACTCTGTGCATTGAGGGCTGGCAGCGCACCGCCCCTCACTCCTCCTTGCTTCTTCGTACTACTGCACCTCTGCAGACCTTGCACATGGACGTCTAGGGCCCTGCCCCCATCTCTGGGCCGCGCGGCGAGCAGAAGGCCACACTAGTACTTGTAGACGACATCTCCAGCTACACCTCGGTGTTTCCCTTGGAGTAGAAGGCCGACGTGCCTGATGCTCTCCTCCCATAGATAGTGGCCATCTGCACCCTGCGCAACCTGCATGTCCTTCGTCTGCACTTCGACAGTGGTGGTGAGTTCACCTCTGGTTGCCTTACCCAGTTCTATCGTGAGGAGGGTATCCGTCAGGCGTACACATCCCCGCACTCTCCTCAATATAATGGGGTAGCTGAGCTCGCATTGGATTGGTTATTGAGATCGCCCGTACCATCATGGTGCATGCAGTGGCCCCCATTTCCTGTGGCCGTCGCTACGCCGCGCACGAGCTTAAACTGTGGCACAGTGTCTCACGGACATAGGTTTCGCCGACCCTCCTATGGACTCGGTCCCCTTGTGCTGCTCTTGCGTTTCGCATTTGGGCTGCCTTGCTCACGTCCGCGGCCCTCGCGCCGACAAGCTCTCAGCCTGGACCCTCTCCTGTGTCTTAATTGGTTCCCCCCTATATGCCCCTGACTGGCAGTTCTACCACCCTTCGGCTTGCCGTTTCTTCCGCTCTCATGACGTCACTTTTGACAAGTCGGCCAGTTTCTACACGCGCTTCCCTCACCGTGGTAACCCGGTTCCCTCTCCTCCCCTCTTCCTCACTCCAACTCCTCCTTTTGGTCCCACTCCTCCTATAGCTCCCCTCCCCTTGCGTCCTGCCCTGTATGGCGTGTCGCACGTCACCCCGCAGTCTCTGCCGTCCGGAACTCATCATCGCAGTCGCCGCAGCAGCCTTCTTCATAGCCGGAGAGATTGTCGTTGCAACGGCCAATCTCTGTGGACTCAGGGGGTGCTAGCTCTGAGGATGTACCTGCATTGGGTGCTAGCACTGGGGGTGCAGGCACTGGGGGTACTAGCTCTGGTGGTGCTACCACATGAGGTTTGGGCTCTAGGGGTACCGTGGATTTGTGACGTTCGTCACGGCTATAGCAGCTGCCGCCGCAGCAGCAGCAGCCACCGTAGCAGCAGCCGCAGCAGCAACAGTTGCAGCCGCTGCAGCAGCAGCCGCAGCCGTAGCAGCCGACATTGCTTGCGACTGTACTTCGTCTCCTTGGACTCCCTTACCTCTTGTCTGACCACTCACCGCCTCTCCCTGTTTACGGTCCTCCACTGCCTCTCCCGGACCCGTCTCCGGGTCGTTTTCCTCCTCGTTCACAGCTTTCTCCTCCTTCCCTTCCTGGCCCATCTCTTGTCTCTTTCCCCTGGCCCTGTCGAGTCCCTCGGACTTGTCCCTCGTCTCCTGTTCCTGGTTTTTACTCTATGAGCCTCCGTTCTCTTCCCCCTCGTGTTTCGCCTCCTTCTACACCGTTACCTCCCCAGTCGTCCCTTACTGTCTCTCTTCCCCCATTCTCATTCTTTCTCCATGTTGCTCGCCCGTGTCCTTTCCGCCTTAGTTACTGACCTCCTTCTTCTCCCTCGTCTGCCTTGGATCTTATCACTTCTATCACCGAATTTGCCTCCACCCGCTGACTTGACTATGCCACTCGGTGTCTGCTCCTGCCCGTCCTCCATTCTTCAGGTGTGCTCCTGCCCTTGACAGTGACGTCCTAGAGGACAGGCCATTCAAGCTGGCTTTCCTTGCGATCGCTACTCCTCACCTCGGTGCCATGCTGCTAGCCCCTAAGGGTGACCCAGACGCTCTTGACATCCTGACCCCTCGCACCTACGCTAAGGCAGTTCCAGGACGCTGGGCCTATTAGTGGATAGAGGTCATGGACGCAGAGATGGCATATTGGAGGTCCACAGGCACTTATGTTGATGCAGTTCCCCCTCTTGGGGCGAACGTTGTTGACGGAATGTAGATCTTCAAGGTGAAGCGGCCACCTGGAGCGCCGCCTACCTCTAAGGTGCATTATGTGGCAAGATGCTTCAGTCAACGAGAGGGGGTTGAATTATTTCATACCTTCTCCCCCACCCTGAAGATGACCACTCTTTGGGTACTAATGCACATCGCGGTGCTTCTTCTCGTCTTCTGTCGATCCTTCTCCTTTCGTTCGCGCTGGTGAGACTCTGTTCTATATTCTTGTCTATGTCGATGACCTGGTTTTTGCTACTCCCGACAGGGTTGCAATGGCCTTAATGAAGGCCGGTCTGCTAAAGAGACAAACTTGCACTGACCTAGGTGAGCTGCACTGCGATCTTGGCTTGTGGATCACTAGGGACAGAGCAGCGCGCACCATCAGTCTGACGCAGTCACACATGGTGCAACAGATCCTTGAGAATTTCAGCCTTCGGTCCTCTGCACAACCCACTCCTCTTACTGTTGACCATAAGCTCTCAACTCTTGTGTCTAACAAGCCTACCAAGGCTAGTGATCCGTATGAAGAGCTAGTGGGGTGCCTCATGTACCTGATGACATGCATGTTAACGGGAGTGAAGTGTTGGCCCCGTCCTCGCTTGGGCAACGCAGACGACTTGGTCGGATGTACGGGTGAAGCAGCCGACCGTTCACAGTGGGAGAGATTCTCGACGGGCTTTGTCAAGCTGCAGGGAACCGCAGTGGTGTTGCTATCAACCAGGGAGCACAACAGCTGCAACTGACTGGGCTGGGCGACGGGTGGGCCGTCGACCAGGAGGAGCAGTTCGACCGGGAGGTCGACGGAGCAGTCCGTTGACCTGATATGTGAGCAGCGGTCGACGAGGGGAAAGGAAAACGGTGAGCGCACTGATGGTAAAGCGTGGACACGGGGAGAAAGCGTAGGCGGGTGCAACGGGAGGGACGGGAGCGGAGGAAGTGAGCGACGGGAGGGAAGCGAGCGGAGGAAGTGAGCGACGGGAGGGAAGCGAGCGGAGGAAGTGAGCGACGGGAGGGAAGCGAGCGGAGGAAGTGAGCGACGGGAGGGAAGTGAGCGGAGGAAGCGAGCGACGAGAGGGACGGGAGGGGAGTGACGGGAGCGGCGCCCACGCGACGAGGGCGACGGGAGGATTGGGATCGACGATAGGGACGCGAAAAACGGGAGGGACGAGAAGCGACTGGCGGAGCGTGAGCAACGGGCACGAGGGGGGCGACTATAGATGAGGTTCGAGATTTTGTTCTTGCGCATAGTTCCGCGAGAGAGCGAATGTATTGGGGGTGTCGTGCGGCACGGGAGTG